AGCGATGCACTTGTTCCTAGTAGCTTCTTGTTACTACTAGTAAGGCACTTGTTCCTAGTAGCAAACATTGGCAGATTCTCCATTTGTTCTCTCCTTTGGGGTCTTCCGAACACTGCTGCGCAGGATATGCATGCCCTCGAGGCTGGTCATCGTGGGACGTGACATCGTTTTGGGAGAAACTTCTGACATTCTTTGGGAGAGTTGGTCTTAGTGTTCAGTCATTATCGCTACGAACGGAGCGATCGGACGCGGAACTGAACGGTGCGCTCCTGGGCCTAACTACGAAGGTAACACGCTACGAATGGAACCAAAGGGGGCATCGCTACGAACGGAGCGATCGGACGCTGCGAACGGGGCGCTCCTGGCATTACTACTAGTCACAAGGACGCTACGCAGCAAGGACGCTACTTCATTTACCCACAACATTTTCTGACAGTCTGTGCTACTAGTCTGTGCTTTTTCTGCGGGTCCCACCAATGGGGGTCCCTGTTTCTTTGGCCCTGTTCCGGTCCCAAGACTAGACCACCAGTCACCGATTCACCCAGTTCCAAACCAAAGGAACAAAGTTCCAAACACAAGTCGAAACAGAAGTGCTAATTATTTTGCAGGCCAAGCGAGTGCTGCAGCTCAGGCTCCCTTACGGGACCCGCTTGTGGTGCCCACGTTTGTGCCTCCTATCCCATATCATCTTGCGCAAACACTCGGCTTCAGCCTGTTTTGTGACCATGGTGATGCTCCCCCTGCTTTTGTCCTAACAAAATGTTCGTTTTCATCCATTTGTTTTATGCTTCCACTTTCAATTTATACTTAGTAGTAACAAGTGCCACGCTAGTAGTAACAAGTGCCTTACTAGTAGTAACAAAAAGCTATTAGAATTATATAGATCTAAATTAATAGCTTCTTGTTACTACTAGTAAGGCACTTGTTCCAAGTAGCTTCACCGCCCGCCTTTCTTCCGACCCGCGGTGGCCTCCAGGCGCTGATCAAAGTGGCGGATGGACAGGCCACCTGCGAGGAGACGGATGTTCATGGGCAGAATGTCTTGGACTACATCGTGCCTTGGGGAAAAAAGAACAAACAAGAAGGGCCCTTGGATTAGATTACGATTACAGCCATTTTTTGGATTTGAACAACCCTCTTGTGACGGATTGGGGATATAAAAAAAAGGGGTAAAATGGTTTTCACAGAGGGTTCTAGTTTTTGGATTGGAAGATCTATGTTAACAGAGGATGCATTGGGCTTCCAGCTGTGGACATCCAGTGGAATCTAATTTGATCATCAGCAACATTGCCTTGAACAACACTCAAAAATGGCTAGATTGGAGGCCATCGCTAGTAGGTTTGAAGTCATCGCTCTTAGATTGGAGCCCATCGTTCATAGGTTGGAGGCCATCGCTAGTAGATCATCTGGGTTGCCAATTATTGCATTTGTTCGAACACATGAAACTCAACAGGAGAAGTGTCACAACTGAGGCGCCTTACGTGCAGAAGTGCTGCAGCAGCTTTCCCAAGTCGAGCCTTGGCAGCCTTGGCTGAACTGGTGGATTGTGCAGCTTGGTCCTGTTCTGTTCAGCACTATTGGCATGGGATCACATTGCAGGATTTGGGGCAAAGGTGGCATCTCAATTTTTTCGGCAAATGAAGCCATGGCCAGAATCCGGCAACAAAACATACGTGCTGTTGGCCAGATGATGCTGATGACGCCATAACCTTGCAGCTGCATTGCTTGAATAGCTGTTCATGGCACTATTGCTGCTCTGTTGCTTTCTGGAAGTTTGTACTGCTCACACTTGAACTCTGATGACTCTGATGACCAAACATATAGTTGCAACCTTGTCAGCGGGATTGGTGAGCGGGTGGGTGTCCCTTCATTTTGCTTTGAAGCTCTCGAGGCTGATATTAGGTTGGAGGCCATCGCTAGTGGGGTGGAGGCCATCGCTACTAGGGTGGAGGCCATTGCTATTGGTACCTCCATAGAAACTTCTTTTTCTTTTTAAGGTTTAATTTGCCATTTACACCTTCCATGGGCTAATGCGACCCATCGTCAGTCCTGCCAGTGCTATTTGAGGATCTGCGACAAGACCGCTCAGAAGATGAGCTACTGCTACTTGGCCCCTGAGGGTCGTTCATAGCTGTTCTTCTCATCTCAGGATTTGAGGTCCATATCCTTTAAAGAAAATAGACGTCCCTACCATCCACTAGGCAAAACACCACGCAAAAAAGGTGCGAAGCACGCGCAAATCTCACGCCGCGGTTCCAACATTCCGCCCGCCGGTGTTGTGTTGTCGAGGCAAAGGACCAGGCTCCTTCAAGCCCAACGGGGTGCTGTACGGCTACTGCCATTTGCCGCCTGCGATCACCGAGGACGGGGGCACCGTGGGGGTGGGCAGAAGCGATTCGGAGAAGAGGGGTGTGGATGATGAATTATTGGAGCAGTTGCTGGGCCTTGAACCACCAAGAAACAGTGCGCTGTATACTTCAAGATACTGCAAGTAGTTGGCTGGCGGCTGATAGAACACCGCCAGCTTTTCTTCACTTTTTTGCTTTTTAGTTGATGCTACTTTTTAGTTGATGCTACGTTGGGGATGGGGGTGGGGTCGGGTGTGGGGCATGTTAACGTTCGCTGCTACGTTGGGGATGGGGGTG